CCGATTTAATATAATCATAAACACGAACCACGTGGAACAGGTATCAAAAGATTTTTTTTAAATAAAAACTTATCAAAAGACGTAAATACCTAAAAAAAAAAGAAAAAAAACAATAACTATTAATTAATTTTGTTTCACACCTTAAAATATTCATTTGATTTTCCAAAAAAAAACATAAATATTTCTTACCAACAAAAGAAAAGAAAAACTATAACCAAAAAATAAGCTCCTGCCGCAAAAAGAGACAACATTTCGAAATTCAAAAAATTTTTTATGATTTTGAAGAATTTTTAAAAGAAAATTCTAGTATGAGTAAAGGGAAAGCCTTCCTTTAAATACTTTTTAAAAATATTTTGCATACCTGATACGGAAATAATGAAACCCGTTTTTTCTTTCCATCTTTTTTCTATCTTTATCTGGAAAAAACTTCGATAAATGATCATTTTTCTAGTTTTATTTCAGAGACGGGATCATTTTTCTGAAAAATTTTTTATAGGCTGTAAAGGGCTCATATCTCCGGAATTAATAACCTTATATTACGGAATTTATCAAATTATTTACATTTTCACCTGATCAATACTCGTCCAGTTTTCATCTATTTTTTATTTGTCCCGTTATCGTCCGGTTTTCGGGTTTTCTTTAATATAATTGCATACACCATTTCGAAAATGGTGATAATATATAAAAGTTTGTATAATAAAAAAGTTTACTTCCCTTTTCATTATTATTACAAAACTATTATTTATTCCTTACATTTCTTTAAATTTCTATAAAATTCCTTCACCTTAATTCCCTTATAAGGATCAATTATATTTATAACGTATTCTTTTATGTTAATTCAATAAAAACAAAGCATTTCAGTGATTATATCACAACATAATATATATATCACATGATATGATCAATTATTTCTAATTCGGTTATTAAAGGGGAAATGATTATTTTTCTTTTTAGATCTTAGTTGGCTTTTAAGCCATGGATTTTAATTTAATCCATGATTTAATCCAAATTCATATGCAAATTTACGCCCAAATTAAATATAAGGAGAATAATAATTTTGACGAATAAATTTAAAATATGTCTATGACGTAATAAAGTGATGGACCATATTGTAATTACATATATAAAACAGCTATCTTTACCTTCCTTTGTTATTATTTGCATGCATTAAAAAAAAAAAATTTTTACTCGTATTTATATCCGTTTTTCTCATAACTATTTTGTATTAGTTTGATTTATTAACCCTTATACAGTATAATGTATTTTTTGAATATGATGAAATTTTAATAAATTATAATACTTACAAAATGAAGGGAAATATTACACAACAAATTAAATGATCATAAGCTGAGATTTAGTGCGATTTTGCTATAGATATTGAACAAATATTTTAAATATTTTGTAGAAAATAATTCTTACGCTATTTACGATATTTGAATGTTTACAATATTGTTCCTGCATTCCTTCACTTTTCTTTGTTATTTGAATGCATGAAATGTATAAAGTTTGACGGAAAAAACCCTCGAAAAAATAAATTTTTTTCCTATTTTGTCTGTACAGTACATTATGCAGTACTTATACTCTTCGCTTTGTCGTGAAAAGAATGATAATGCGCTTATTACCTAATTATCACATTATTAATAATAAGAATGTGAGAAAAATCAGCAGAGGCAATCTTAATTCTTGAAAAAGTAAAAAATATAAAATAATTTTATTGGACCAGACACTTGATTTAAAAAAAAAAAATTAATCAAGTTTATATAATAAATAAATAGATATAATTTTTATTTTTGCCAGTTACACCTTAGAAATTGTTTCAAAGGAATGGGGAACCATGATACAATTAATACATATCGGAAAACTGTTACAGTCTGATCTCGATATAAACGAACCTACAATATAACCAACTTACTCGAACTTTTATTTAAAAACCAGTTTCATAATATTTAAAAAAATCTCGATAATGTACCGAATATAGAACTTGATATAACATATACCACTTTTATTGATTTGCCGTTTATAATAATGCATATAAAAAATTCTTGATATTACGAACTGCAATAATTTGATATTCTTAATCACGTGACAGATTATATAAAATACCTATTGTGGACCTGTATCGGTCGGGACACAGGATTGGTGGGATCAACCAAGCTGGTTTGGCGATTAATCATTTGAATAGTGTAATAACTTATCATTGTAATTCTCCTGCTTTACGCAAGATAAATAAATATTATTGATCACGCATCTAAGTTAAACAATTACTGCGAATATTTTGAATAAATAATATGCTTGTCAACTGCATCAATTTTTTTCACGTTTCTAGCGTTGATGATTTTATTTATTTAAGTAATAAAGTAAATAATTGGGGAAAACATATTAAAAAATAAATAAATAAATAAACAAAACCCGCCATGTAAAAACTTGATTTAATTCTGACTTAATTTTTATTTAATTTCATAGGAAAGATTTTAGCTTCATAATAATCAAAAATATACTTATAACTTAATCATAAAATTTCTAACTAAAACTATATATTCAATATATATATATATATCGTAACGATTTGTACTTATGATCCTCTTTTTTTATAAAACGAAGGAAAAAAAAGAATTTTTTTTACATTTTGACCGAAATTAGGACATTCAAATTAAATACCGTAATTAAAAAAAAAAATGAAATTTAGTTTAGAGCAAACATGCGATATCTGATAATACCATAATAAATCAAAAGTCTAAATTCGAGTGTCGCGATATAATATTGTATATAATCGTAATAAAAAATATATTTTAAGATACGTTAAAAAAAGGTATAATAAAAATTTTTTAGATCGAAATTATATTAGAATGGCGACCCGTTAAATAGTTGATTCACGAATGAATTAGTCGAATTTTGTTGGGGAAGGTTTGAAATCCTTCTAAGCATGTTATTATTCGATGCGAATCTTCGATAATGATTTATAATTTTTCTTCTTAACCTTCTTTCCTTGTAGAGTTGGAATTGATATGATCGATTAGAAAAAGACATTTTTTACAAAATACAATACAAATTATTTATTTAACAGAATGGAATAAAGGGAGGAGGAGGGGGGGGGGGTTATATTCTGTAACTTTTTGTGATAAAAAAATAATATGCATGGCGTATTTTTTTGTATGAAAAATTTGTATAAGGAAATAATGCTTGTATTGTCAAAAAAAGAATAATACGGGTAAAACCTCCCTGTTGCATAAAATTAGTTTTTCTTTTTATATCTACTGACTTTTAAACCATGGATTTTCGCAATAATACTCAAAAAGGATCGGCAAAAGTTAAAATATCCATTGACATAAGACTATTTATTGACTGCCGATTTAATGCCCACTCATATGCAAATTACGCCAAAATTAATTATGAGAATATAATTTTTAAAAATATTATTTGCATGCATTAAAAAGCAAACTTTTTTCTCAATTTCATATATATCTAACCTATTTTGTATTAGCTGAATTAGGTAATTAAAAAACCGAAAGTTTTTTTGTTTTATTAACCCTAATATATACAGTTTATAAAATTACCGTATTTACCCAAAAATAAATAAGTACCAAAAATAAGCAAGTTGTAAAATTTCTGAATATTATGAAATTTTACCATAGATTAATAAATGTAATTATAATTAAAATAATACTTACAATGAAGGGAATATTACGCAACAAATTAAATGATCATAAGCTGAGATTTAGTGTGATTTTGCTATAGTTATTGAACAAATATTTTGTAGAAAATAATTCTTACGCTATTTACTGCTATTTGAATATTTACAATCTTGTTCCTGCATTTCCTCACTTTTCTTTGTTATTTACATGCATGAAATGCATAAAGTTTGACGAAAAAAAACCTTCGAAAAAAAAATTTTTTTTTCCCAATTTGTCTGTACAGTATATTATGCAGTACTTATACTCTTCGCTTAACAATTCTAACAATTCAAAGTTCTAACCTATTCCGAATTAGTTAGATATTTAAATAAGGTAATAAAGGATTTAATATGAAACAATTTCGTAGCCCAAAGTGCCCAACAAGCGTTTTTTTCAGTTAGTAGGATAATCGGTACGGTACGAAATTGCAAACCTGTACGGTACGGTTGATCACCCATACAAAATTACAAAATTTGATCAACATGACCGTACCGTACTGACACTATAATAAAGAGAAAATCAGTATGATACATTTAGCATATAATTAATTGGACACCAGTGTCCATTTTAATAATTTGGACACCAATGTCCAAAATGTCCATTTTGATAATTTGGACATTGTAATTTGGACACCAATGTCCAAAATGTTCATTTTTGTAATTTGGACACCAATGTCCAAAATGTTCATTTTTGTAATTTGGACACCAATGTCCAAAATTTTCATCTTAATAATTTGGACACTAATGTCCAAAATGTCCATTTAAAACAATAACCATACCGTACTGTACTGGTTCTATATATAGAGAGATTATTATAGAGCCAGTACGGTACGGTACAGTTGGTTAAATTTTATCGGTAAGACGAATACCAGTGGTGTAGGGTCGACCACCTGTGTGGTGTATGGTGATATTTAGCAGTGTGTAACAGGGGTGTGACGGAAACATGTACTGTATGGATTCCTATGTATGTATGTATGGTGGTCAATGTATGGTATACGGTGTACTTTTCATACATACATACTTTTTTATTAAATTATATAATTAGAGAAAACGTATGTATGTATGAAAATAAAATTTCACGTGACTATACATTGAATTCGGAAATTTTTATAAAAAAAAATCCCTACTGACTACTTCACGTTTTTGATTTTTTTTTTAAAAAAAATTTTTTTTCATGTATTAGAACTGTAAACGCAATTTATATTTTCTTTATTATGATTTATAAACGTATTATTATAAATTTAACAAAAAAATCTAAATATATTTTTTTTTAACGTTTTTGTTGATTTTCTATTTCTAATGCTTCGGCTTTAGCTTCCATCATTCGTGCTTCAGCCTCAGCTACTCGTGCTTTAATTTCACGCTCCCTTAATATAATTTCCTTCTCTTTAAGTTCTAACTCGAGATTTTTTTTATGAATCTCTTTAGAAAATGTTTCTTCTTCATTGTCTGATAAAATATTTTCAGCTCTTTCATGATTTTCCTTTGATCTAATAGGTGTTCTACTATTAGAAGGTGATAATTTTCTTTTTTTTGATGACTTGGGTAATTTATCATTAAGAGATACTTTATTCTTTTGAATACGAGATGCTATATATTATAAAAAAATTTTAAAAATTTTTATAAATAAATAAATTAATTGATAAATAATGTTTTTACTTACTTTTGCGTACAATTGAATTTTGTAATCTCTTAACATCACTTTTGTCTCTATGAGTGTAAGGTACTCCATTTTTGTCATGAACTTCAATCGTTGTATAACACCTTGCATCGTACCTTTTTCCTCTTTAAATTATTTATAATTAATACATAATATTCATAATATTAAATGTAATTTGGTAATTAAAAAAACTTAAACTAACTTTAAAATGGCTGATAATAACTTCAATTGCTTTCCTTCTCTGTTAGCCATGGAATGGGCCGCTTCAGCATTATTAGTATCTGATCCACTTTTATTCCAAATCTCATGATCAACATTTGAAACGTATTTATTTAAGGAAGATAAAACATATGATTGTCGATAATAATTCAACCATTCTATAAGAAAAAACATTTTTAAAAATTTATATTAATTCTTTTAAACTTCTAAAATAAATAAATAATATACCTTTTATTCCTTCATCATTTGTATCTTCTATTTGTTGCAGAAGATCATGAACTTGTTCTTTACTAGTTGCATTAGGAATTTGTCGTATTAAATTTTTCGTGCTTATAGTAAATGTTTTATGAAATAAATTTCTAAAAAAAAAAATAAATTAATTAAATTAAAAGTAAAAGAGATAACTATTCAATAAATTTATAAATACCTTTCAAAGTGTACAAGGCATGTTTTCAAAATAAATGTCAAGTGTGTTTCCCAACTTTTTTCGTGATCCAAATCATGTAATGCTAATCCTAACCCCTTAGCCTGTGCAGCGTCCAGATCAGCCAGAATACATCCAATACCACTTCCATGAATATGTCGAAATTGAATAGATTGACCACTTACTTCACGAATTATTTGGAATAAAGATGAGAATAACCTATGATACCCTTCAGCAGTAAAAACATTAGTAAATATACGACAAAATGACAATACTTAAAAAAAAAAACTATGGTTAGTAACATCATTAATGTATATCATTTATAATACATGATGGGATTAATTTAAATAAAAATTTCACTTACTCAGGTGATGTTTGGAATCATACGTGTTAATTTCAAATTCATTTATCTCTCCTTTTACTCGTTTAAAGCTGACATCAATTTGAAAATAATCAAGTGTAATTAATTTTTTAGCTTGATTATCAAGCATACAAGTAATAATTACTTGGCCATTATTTGAATAAAGATCTAAAAATAATAGTTATTATTAATGAGTAATTTAAATAAAATGCATAATAAAATTTTAAAAAATTTACCAATTTTGCGAACATAATTTATTAAATCTGATTTGGGATTTAATATATCATGATAAATTCCTATAACTCCTTGTCCAAAAGGATGCAAGGTCTTGTATGCTTTTCCTACTAAGTATCGTAATTTGTCTATATTATTGAGAGAGACATGAACTTCTGCCAATGTTTCTTTATTAAAATAAGCACTGAGTAGATTTCCTATTAGTTTAATATATCAAAACTAAATTAATTATTAATTGATAATGATAAATAATAATCTTATTAATATTTTATACCTGACAATATTGATCTTGAAGTAACATTATCATCTTGTTGAATAGCTTGGGTAATTAAAGATTCTAAGTTATTCTTAATTCCAGAAGGAATCCTCTCAGGTGCTGGGGGTGGATGATTATGTGTTCCTACACATACAAGTGCTACAAAAGGACATTTGACAATATCATAAGGAATAAATTTGATAAAGCGCACTTGACAAGGTTTGTCAATTATTTCTCCACGGACAATAGTTCCATTATGTGTATGTGGCATATCTTAAAATAAAAGAGATTTAGTTATGATTTAAAATAAATTTAATAGTATAATTAAATTTAAATAATTACCACATTTTTTACGTTTACAACTTTTAGAAAGTATCATACTACACTTTACTGTATCTTGTACCTAAATAATTGAATAATTTTTAAATTTTAAAAATAGAAAGATATAAAATAAATGGCTATCTGCAATTGCTTATAATTTCCAATTTGACAAAAAAAATAATAATGAGAAATAAATAATACTTACAGATGCAGAACCTGTGAATAGACTTTGAAGTAATGAAATATCAACTTCATCTTGTTTTATTTTGATATATCGATGCCACTTATCACCTTGTTTGTATTTGTTGCAACCGATAAAATATGATACAATATTTGTTTGATAATTAGTTATTCTTCCAATATGAGGTCCTCCATTGCATGGGATATTGTCTTTTTTGAAATTACAAGGAGTATCTTTTGCTGCCAAAAATAAACTAGTAAAAATTTGGATTAGTAATTAAAATAAGTTTTATACATTTGAAATTAACAATAATTAGTAAACTTACGTATATGTCTTAGCTTCTTTAGTATTATTATTATTTTGTTGTGTATAATGTTGAAAAATTTCAGAATCAAAATCAACACTACAGTGTTCTTGATTAACAAGTTCAGGATCAGTGAACTGACAAAACTTTATTCCTTGGCATTTTCTTTGATTTTTTTTAACGGGTATTCCTCCAAAAAAAGGGCATTCTTGAATATTTGTGGTACCGCCTGAACCATTTGTTGAATATTGAATCTACATTGTAATAAAAAGTATTTATAGTTAAAGATCTATAGCTTGTTGTTAAATTAAAGGTAAATAATATATACTTACATCTGAAAACGCGTCTGTATGATTTTTCCATCCAGTTACATTGTAAACGGTTGCAACTCCTTCTGAAGATGTATCTGGATATTCTATAGGAACAGTTGTATATATAACTTTGGGAACTCGCAGTTGAGAAGTAAAGAAAGCTAATGTTTCTTCGCTTTCTAATTCGTTTTCGCTATCACTATTATTCTCTCTCTATTTTTGTTTATTAGCTTTTAATAATTTTCTCTTTAATAAAATAATATAATTTGAATAACATTTACTTACCATTTTAATTAAGTCTTTCTCATTATAATCATCTATATCCGAAAGTTCAATAATCGAAGACATTATGAAGCTTGCGATTAATCGAAGATTGATTATGTTTTAAAAAGTGTATTCTGAAAAAAACGCGTTACAAAATTTTTTAAAAAAATGAATGTTACGTGTTGTATGTACTAGTTCTATGAATTTAACTTAAAAAGCTAAATCATGGTTTAAAAAGATAAAAAAGGAATAAAAATTAGTTTTATTAATCGTTTTAACGTGAAAAAAACCCAATTATAGTTAAATAAAAAAATTCTCAATTAAAAAAATATACCATCAAAGTGCCTAATTACTATTTGAGATTCTGAAGATTCAATTAACTCCCATCCCTAACAGATTGGACCACCCATTTGCAGGAAATTTTCATTTAAATTGTTAACTTGCGGGAAATTTTTCAATTATCTACATAAATTACTATTTGATTAGTTAATAAATCAGCAAACAAATACTTTCACACCCCCAAAAATATTTTTTCCTGAAACAGACATTTTCCGTAAGTAAATTATTTACTAACCTTTTTCCCAGATCAAATTAAGTGCGAAAAATGTCAAAAATATTGGAAATTCATTTATTTATATTAGATCGATACAATAAAATCTGATCTCGTAACACATCAATGACGTCTTATCAATTAATGTAACTAAATTTAATATATTACTATATATATACAAGAATATATCGAAAAAAAAATTTTATTTAATACGCCAACAATCTAATACAATAAAGGTAAATGAAATATTAATAATATTAATGACATCACTAAAAGAAATGATAACTTCTACATGTGCCTTGAAATCTCTTATAAAAAGAATCTTTTCTCTTCAATTACCATTAAAGAGGAATACATGCAATTCCTTAAAAATCCATAATGTTGCTGGAAGAAAAAACAACTTCTTACACTAAAAGTTACCCGAAAATTCTTTAAAACATTTGTTTCAAATTCCCAACAAATGACTTAAAATCGGAAAAACAGGAAAAAAGGCATTAATGTTTTTTCATAATGCCGTTAACCACTTTATACCAACTCAAAGATGCTTACCTTAATAGTTCCGTTCCAAAGGAAACTCTGAACCCTAAAAAAATAAGGTGCTAGTCTTTTCAAAATGTCATTAACATCGCGTCATTACAACTACACATTTATTAAGAAGAAATAAAAAAAATGGGTTAATATCGTTTTTAAAAGTAAATTTAAATAAAACTCTTACCACTTACCAGAAATCTGTTAAAAAAATAAAAAAATAAACATAGTTTCGTTTCAAAAAATTTGAGAAAAAAAAGAGCCAAGTCACAATCATGTGAAAAAAATGTTGTTTATACAATCATACGGTCATACTTTATTTTCTGGTTCGAGATAAATATACATGTACGAAATCATTACCATACATAGCATACATGTAACAGTTTGTAACACCATACATACATACATCGGTTTCCATACAATACTTGTTTTTTATATAATCGTGTAACAGTGTGTAAAATAAGGGGTGTGAACCATACACAGGTGATGATTAGCATTTCGGCCCACTCCAAATCACGTGTTTGGCCCGTCGCGTTATTTATCACCTGTGTAAACTGTCACATAGGAGACCATACACTACACATCTCCTTGACCCTACACCACTCATCTCCGTAGCACTCAAATTTTATGGTTGATCATTTCGTACCGTACCGTACTGGTTTGCAAATTCGTACCGTACTGGTTAAATATATATTCGTTTTTTTCCAGCCCATACGGGTAATGCGGTCAATCACGTGTGATTTAGTCGCAAACATTCTTGATAACGTTGATTATTTTATTTATTTATGTAAAAAGATAAATAATAGGAGAAATATATTAAAGAAAAAAATAAATAAAATACAAATAAATAAAGGTAATGCAATATTTTTAAGTAAAAACTTGATTTAATTCTTAATTTTTATTTAATTTTATATAAAAAAAATTTTAGGCTCATCATAATCAAAAATATATTTATGGCTTACATTGTTACAAATGAATGTTTTTACATCAGTTTCGTTACATTTTAATCAAAATTATAAAAATAGCTATATTAAATCAAAAATGAAAATAGTCTAAATTCGAGTGTCGTAATATGTTAGAATTTGTAAACGTAATATCGATAAATAATAAATAATAAATATAAACGTAAAGGAGAATAGGAATATCTTTTCGATGTAATTAAGATGTGTTGAAAAAAGGTACAGTATCTAGAATGTCGACCCGTTAAATAATTGATTTACGAATGAATTAGTCGAATTTTGTTGAGGAAGGTTTGAAATTCTTCTAAGCGTGTCATCATTATTCGATGTGAATCTTCGAGAATGATTTATAATTGTTCTTCTTAACCTTCGACTTTTCTGATACCTTTGATGTGATCGAATAGATAAAGGCATTTTTGACAAAATGTAAATTTTCTTTCAGTAATGATCAACGAATAATAAATTCTTTATTAAAGAAAAAATTTATAAAATAATACAGATAAAGATCAGCTTTTAGTATGATAAGATTATTTGTCTCTTTATATCCTTTCTGAAAATAATGTGGAATTTGCAATTGACATTCAAAAAAATTGATTGACATAAACCTGATTTAACCAAAATAATCAGATTCTTAGATATTGATCTAATCCAAATTTATATGCATTTTTGATCATAAGTATTTTAGCGCCAAGGTGGAAATGGAAATAATTTTAACGAGTCAAATATTTCATTACGTATGGACTGACTAAAATGATTATATATCTTTGATTGTTCAAATTTATAAATGTCATTATCATGCACACGTAAAGTTCCGATTAATTGTCTCGGGTGATGTTCATAAAATGTCCGGATTGTTTCACACTATATAACAGGTTCTGTATTAATTAAAATTATCCAAATTTTTACGAACAGAATTGTTTTTGTAAATATTGTACAGTACATATGCCTCAAAGATGAGAAATGTCTATGTGACAACACGACTGTTTTTTTTAATGATATATAAATTCAGAAATTGAAACCGCTTTTAAAAAAAAATTATATCTTGTAGCTCAATCTTTAAGCTCAATCATTAGACCATATACTGATATACAGTATTCCATATATCATATATATTAATATTATCGTAGCGGTTTGTAATAATTTTTTTTAATAAACGATAATAAACGATAATAAACGAAAAAAAAGCGACCCGATACAATAAATAACCAAATTTTGTTGAAATCCTTCTAAATATGTCATTCTTAGCGAATCTTCAATAATGATTTATATTTTTTTCCACTTATCCTTCATTTTTTTTAGGCTTCATTTTTTTAGGTAGATTTGGTAATTTATGGGATCGATTTGGAAAAGGTATTTTTAGAAAATATAATTTAAAAAAAAAATCGGCAAAGTTAAAATATAATTATTTATGACTGATGAATAAACAGTCGGTTCGCCTTATAACGAAGTTGGTTTCCGGAACAGGGATGGCAAATGACATTGTTATTTGATCAATTCCAAATGATATCAATTCATTTCCAAGCGATATCAATTCATTTCAAAATGACATCATTTTGTCATACTGAATCTGCCAAGGTTAAAGTAAAATTTAAAATTAAATCAGGCCAAAATTTAGCAAGTAGCTGGTGTAAACCAAAATCTCAGCCAGCATTAGGATCACATAACTCAAAAGACATAAATGATGTGGCCTTCATTATCTACTATATTCAGTATATTGGTATGTATATGATATAAATTCATATAATTCTCGTATTTTGTATAACGTATGTCACACAAGATATCTTTGTTAAATTAATTTTCGTTATAAGGAAAAATCTGTTGCAATAAGGTCATTTCCATTCGTTATACAAAGTATTAAAAAATTCGTTAAAATCAAAATTGGGGAAATTAACATCCGAGTCACGCTTTCATAAGTTTACAACGTACATTATGTACTAACTAAAGTAATAAAAAAATACAAGAAACCATTATAAACTTAGTTGCATGTAATTGTTCTAAATGTAACAGGAAAATTGGTTAATTCTCGTACGAAAAAAACCATGAAATAATAAGTGATTTAGATGATTCAAAAGATATTACTTTTACCAACAATAAATCTGCCTAATGAACCATCTCAAAATAATGGAAAGTACTTATGTTATCCGAATTAATTTTAAAATTGTCAAAGTTTGGAAACCAATATTATTTGGTCACACGCGTCAACATAAATAATTACTACGAAAAAATCCGGCTTTCAAAACCTTAACAACATATTAGAAATTTCGACCTATTTTAAAATCACAACTACTTATTTTTGATAATTAATAATTTTTTCACATTAAATACTTTTTAATAATTATTATTTTTAAAAGATGATTATTTTATTTATCTGGGAAAGAAGATAAAGTATAGATTAAAAAAAATATATTGAAATAAAATAAAAAAAAAATTTAATATATAATTAAACCCGCTAATGTATGTCTCAAATTTTTTACACTAAATCAAACATTAATTAAGTAAAGGCAAAGAATTTTATGATAATTTAGGCTCCTCATAATCGAACTTCTTCCATAAGTCACCTCCACGATTTTGCAAATTCTTTTTGGTCTGCGAGGGTGTAGTAAACGGAAATAAAGCCCAAGCAGAATTTTCTTTGTAAACGTTAGGTACATGTCTCAAGATGAGTTTATGTAAAATTCCTCCAGAAGACATATCATTTGGATCGCTTTGAATTTCATTCCAGCCCCAGGTTGTTAAGTTTCGTGGAGTGAGATCATTCGTATAGAAGCGATCGTTTCGTACAAGATTAACCGCATCTGATAGAATAGCGCGACTGATGGTAAATGGAAGCGCGATTGCTGAACCGAGAACAGCAGGCTTCGTTTTTTCTGTCATGAGACCAGGATACAATTCGACATTTTCTACATGTCCATAAAGTTCTTCGAGTTTTTCCGCTACCTTTGGATCAGGATTCATTTCCTTAAATGTATCATAAGGCTTCAAGTTTAAGGACCGACGAAAATCGTTGAGACTACTTAATCCCAAAGATCTAGCTGATTCAATGCCGAGAAGCTCAATAGGACGGAAAACTTTATTAACGCGATTTGCTCCAAAAGCACCTGTCCAACATGATGCAACCAATTATTAGTTTTCATAAATAAAGATGATAAATATTATGAATAATAAATTATACTAGTTCCTTACCTGAAACTTTCCTTGTTCCACCAATGATCTCTTTTGCAATATCAGTATCTTTGAAACGGGTATCACTTCCTCTTTCTATATCATTAAACTTCCATTTGGATGGCTCTTTGGGTATTGATCTCTTCCAAGTAGACATCTTTTCCCTGAATTTATCAATAGCTATCTATTATATAGAATAATAATGTTAATACGTGCTGGTCCTTTTTAAATTGGAAGGAATAATTAATCATAAAAGTTAAAAATGCTTACATTTTCCCAATCATCTCCAAAAATCGTTTTGAACTCATCTACAACATATTTTGTATCATCTTCTGAGACAGCTGGATGCCATCGATAGATGTAGTTGAACTCTAAAGAGACTATATTTCCGGATCCAGAAGGTAAGGCATCAAGTTGCCCTGTTTTATTATATGGCACTGTAGGATCAACGAACCAAGTTGAAGCAGTTTGATCGAGACCAAGGATAGTACGAAGGTAATTATGAAGGATTATATTAATATAAAATCCACAATTAATCAATCGTGCGGTTTGAAAGAGGTCTTCATCTTGCTTTTTGAGTTGTTCAGGATCATTTTGATTCTTAACGCTGAATCGTCCTAGCTCATTTTTTTCAAGAAGAGTTTGTGCAATATAATTATGATTTCGCGAAAAAAGTATTAACAAAGCAGATACGCCGGGTGGTTGTAACAGGATTCGTGAATCAGCAAATGTATCAGGTTTTAAGAGTCCAGATTTAAAGGCGCGAATAGACTTTAATTGTTCATCATTATTTCCATACAATGGAGTGAGGTCAAGGTATGAAGAAGTAAGGTTGATGGTAGGATCAGCGAAGCTGGTATGGAATAAATCGTGAGTGATGATTATGGCCAAATAGAATAACATTGAACTGATTCCAGATGGATGTTCCACGAATTCTCCCTCTTGAACCATTAGTTTATCAAAGATATCTTCTGCTTTGGGAAGGACTGTGAGTTTAATAGGGTACTGAATACGGGATGTAAGCGAATATTTGCTATTAGCTTTTCCAAGTGATTGGATGATCCTGTTGTAACCGGAACCATCAGAACTGCGATACATGTCACCAGCGATCATAATAGGTGGTTTAGCGATGTCATGCCATAGTTGTGTAACCAATAGCCTACTCAAGAGTGACAAAATTTTTTCGCCTTCAGGAGTATTAGGAATATGGGTCAAAGCTGTAATGTATATTTCCAACTAATAATAACAATAATATTATTAGAATTATTAATATATATATATATAAATATATATATATAGAAACTAAGTCAAAAAAAAAAAAAATCTATTTTGTCCTTTACCTCCAAGTGAGAATCGTCTACAGGTAATTTTGGTATAAGAAATATCTTGAATAAATCAATCAATTTATACTTGAGGGTAATATGTTTATCTGGAATTGGTTCATTAAGACCTAAAAGATATTGTACAACTTTAGATTCTATTTCATCATCAGTTGATTTTTGAAATAATCCTGATAATCCTCTTAAAGACATTGTGTAAGATAAAATTGTGTAAGGTAAAATGAAATTAAAGAATTTTTTTTTTTGAAGGACGATGAAGAAAACATCAAGCGGTTTTTATAGATTGTTCGAGTATTCTATCTTAACCGGATATAGAATAGATTATCATAATAAATGGCCATTAATTAAAAATAGTAATTTTATATACAAAAAACTCGGATAGAATTTCATTTATGGAATAAGCTTATACCGTAATCCATAAAAGTATAAAAATATAATTCCTCAAAGTCCGATCTGACGATCCAATTTTACTTTTAATGTTTGGTCAATTTTTAGTTAATTTAGTCAAATTTAATTATACTTTTAGATGATCAAATCGGTTCGGATCATAGTTTTTCTTAATGTATTTACACCCGGTGTGGCACAAAATGTTGGCCGGTGAGTACGAATTCACATGATTACGTGAATTTCTTTTGTGTATGTGAAATTTTTTGTTGGATTGTTTCAAATAATTTGGTAATGATTGTAATTTGACGATTGTATAACCAAACTAAATTGCATGAAACATTTTCTCAAATCTTATTTATTTAAAGAATTCCTTTAAAGAAAAATCTCTCACCCGAAAGTAAATCTTTAACAACAATACTTAAAAAGTAAGACAAAAAGACAAAAAGACAATTATATACTATATTTAATGATACATTACTCACAATGATATTTCGTTTCACAAGGCTGTGCAACATTAAAAATAGTGGGATTTATTATAAAAGGAAAATTTCATGCGCCTAACAACTTTTTACTCTTTTTCCCTCCAAACAAATTGTATTATCAAGAATGCCAATGTATCAAACAATTCGTCATAATAGAAATGTAACCTTATCCAGGTAAAAATAATAGGCTACTATTGTTCTAAAATTATTGTATTTGAAAATCTTTTCCGATTGTTAATAGTCTAAAACTAAAATAGTAACGGTTAAACAAATATAGTTTGAAATATTTCGAATTATTCATATGGAATTGAGTTTTGCTTTTTTCATTGTATGTCATTTCTGTCTTCTATGAATTCCTTTTTTTAGGAATAATATACCAAAATGGTTTCATTTTGAAAGAGTAAATTAAATAAGCACGTTTTTCTCACTCATACAAAACAGGTAAGGAATCGTGTTACGAATATTTTTATCTTGAAAGTTAGTGGCGGCTTATTATCCATATTAAGTGACAATTTGCGTTAGGATTATTCGCTGTTAAATGGTGTGAATGTTTTTTATTCATAATAATTAACATCTTTTTTTGGGTAAATGTAACTTTTATCGTATTCACAAATAGAACTAAACAAGAAAGAACATCTGTTTCCTAAAGAGAAAAAATGACAACAATATAAAAATATGATGCTTTATGCTAAATCAAATGTTAAATCGGTGTAATGTTTCCGGCGCAATGGGAAATTATTTATTATGATGTAGAAGAGAACATAATACGTAAAGATAACGAATTTTCAGTAATCAATTACGTACTAAATATTTTGCTAATTTTATTATTTTTAGTGATTATAGATAATAATGGTTTATATTGTTATATTTAATTGGGAATTTAATAAAGAGAATTTATTAATAAAATCAAAGCGATACTTTCAAGCTTTCTTTTATTGAAATAGATTTTATTGATATACCATCAGACCTCAATATACCGGTATTCGATATATCGATATATATTAAAAACATAACGATATTTTCAATGATTTTCACATGGATCCCAGCGTTGTATCGGAGTTGATCCCAATATCTATCTTTATTTCTTCTTTTTTTAAAAAAAATACCCTGAATACATCGTGCTATTAATCGGATATCTAATAGAGTGTTCTTATCATATCCTCGTGTTATTAAAACATGCACATGGCGATGAATTATTATAGCAATGCCTTCCTTTTCTAACTTGATTAAAAATGTGATTTCATAAATAGTCGTCAACCTAAATATAATTAAGAAAGGATTAGCTCTCATTCATTGTTGATGTAATATAGAGATTGTTTTGATTGGTTCCTAAATAAACTATTGAAATTTATTGAACTTGTAACCATAATAGCCTTTCATATTCTTTTTATGGAACAATCAAACCGATTTTACAACGTTCCTATTGTACAGAATTAAATCTTTCGCTCTTTGAAAATTTCTTTTACGAATCATTTCACACGCAATGAAACCAATATCCTTTTACTTTTACCAGAAAATTTAAATAAATTATCATTATCGTAAAACTCATCATATTTTTCACCGCCTATATACATTCATTATTGTCTTTGAAAAGAAGGAATTTTATATATAAGAAATATTCACATTGTAATTCAATGAAGGAAGTATATCAAACAAAGTAAACATTGCGTTAAGAACTTGCGTTTCCCTTTTATATATATATATATATATATATATATATCATTAAATTCGGATCATAATCAAAATATAAAAATTCCGGAAAAAAAGACTCGTTATTCTTGTAAATAATCAAAATTTAAAAATTCCGGCCGGAATCCGTTTTTCCAAAAAAATTTGAAGGGATTAAAAAAAAGGTTTGCTCTAAGCATTTTTATCTTGGCTTTCTGACATTTTCGAATTAGAAGTATTAGAAGTAAAAAATTTATTAATGCCTTTTTTTATATACGAATAGAATAAATTATGTTTCAAATTATTGTGCAAAAGAGAATATTTTTGTTGAATTGATGCAATGCGTAAAACTTACCAATTTCTAAAGATTATCCAAGTGAAGGATGAACGGATCGTAACACCGCCTCATACCAATCTTTAAAGATTATCCAAGTGATAGATGAACGGATCGTAACACACGCTTCGTACCAATCTCTAAGATTATCCAAGTGACGGATGAACGGATCGTAACACCGCTTCGTACCAATTTCTAGATTATCCAAGTGACGGATGAACGGATCGTCTAAAGATTATCCAAGTGACAAATGAATGGATCGTAACACCATTCCATACCAACCTCTAGAGATTACCCAAGTGACGGATGAACGGATCGTAACACCGCTTCGTACCAATCTCTAAAGACTATCCAAGTGACGGATGAACACCGCATTGAAGTAATATTTGTCATATGACATCAAGAACTAGGTGCAATTCTAATTATCATTCATCAAAATTTTTGTACAAAGCGCACGTATAAAAAATTTTTAATTGACATAACGAATTAATATTTAATATAAAGCTTAAGTAACAATTTATTATTATATAGCACTGGTCACAATACTCTAGATACTAATCAAATAAATATGATAATTCTGGTCAAATTTTATTGCCCCTCTTCACACTACGTACTATATTACTCGAATTTCTATTTTACTGTCACATTGCAAATTATTTACAAAATATTTTACAAGCAAATATATTTTGTACATTAATTATACAAATTTCAATTTCACAAATCCATATTTCTCACATCAAAATCCAATTCAAAAGAACTATTATCCAATAAGAAACAATCGTTAGCACCATATTTTAGCGCACTTTTATTAAATTCATTATTTTCATCTTCAAAATCTATTAAAAAAGGCATCGCATCCTCAGGTGACTCCGTCCGTTCATTCTTTGATTCCGAAATCTATGGAAAGAAAAAAAAAATTAAATTTAATATAAATGAACGATACCAAATAATACTGTAAATAATATCATACTTTTCTTTTCAATTCATTAATTTGATCTGCGCAATAAGGAATAAAAATCTCTATATCACATTTTACGAATTTATCTTTCTCATCGTTGTGAGATTTTTTGCTTCTTTTTTTATGAATTGAATTATCAGAGGAATCTGAAGAATTGGATGAGTAACTTCTTTTTTTTCGTAACAACTTTGATGTTTTAACCATAACGATATTTGAGATCTCGTAAAAAAATAAAAAGATTGAGGATAAACAATATTAACAATTGAATTTCTTGAGAAATCCATTCAGTATATATTTATGTTATAATATATGCAGGTATAAAATTTAATGAGAAAGTTATTTTTGTGTAAAGTTTTTTTAACTAATTGTAATGAATGAGTATTTTAGGGACAATATTCTTGGAATGAGTACGATTGTCACGCAGGTTTTTTCCTAAAAATTTCACGTGAATTAAAACGGGGATACAGTGGCACGACAGAAAAATAATTTTATATTTAGTATAAAAATCAAGTTTTTTTTTGTTGTTGCTCTTTTCCTTATATAATAAAGGATTTTTTTTTATAAATACCACTCATACACTTACACATTTTCAGCTGACGATCATTAAATTTTTGAGTTAGCCGAGTCATTAAAAAAAATACTATTATGAATCTTCTTCCAAAATATGATGGAACTATTCATCCAGATGAATGGCTGAGACAAATTAAAACACAATGCATGATTCATATTAATAATAACCATTATTATTCTAATCTTGAAAACATGACTCTTGAAGTTGCAAAATCATTAGTGGATCCGTCAATTAATGTTAATAATGTAAGAAGTAATGATCAATTACTCACCACACTTAAAAATAATGTTTTATTTAAAATTTTTCTTAAATCAAGTAAACAAAAATTGCGTGATTTAAGTTATAAATTTAATACATGTGGTGACGAAGCCGAAAGTACTTTAGAATTTCTTGTTAAATTCAAAAAACTTTGTGATAATGCTGAAATTATTAATATTGATGATCAAAAATTTTATCTTATTCATACCTTGGATATTATATATCAATATAAATTTTCTGAAAAAATCATTAATATTAATACATTTGATGAATTATTAACATCTTTTCAAGATTTTATAATTGATCAAAAATGTAGTATTCGTAGTTCTTCTATTGTTATAATTAAACATGTAGCTACTGGAAAATATTTATCATCAAATAATTGTCCAAATGGTAGATATGGATACGTGGTTTGTATATAATATAAATATATAGACTATATTATATTTTTAATTATAATTAATCATTTCAATTAATTATTAGGTAACATTATCCAATAATCAATCTGACCCATCTTGTCAATGGCAAATTATTGGTCAAAGTCTTAATGACGAGATTCATTATGGAAATAAAATTCGATTAAAAAGTCCAGCGACAAATCAATATTTAAGTTCCACGAATGGATGTAAATCTCCAGCAACAAATCATCATCTAGGTAACCTCTTTTTAATAATGTTAATTTATTATTACTAAAACAATCATCTTACAAATACATGTATAGTATATTCCTATGGTTCCATATTTAATTGGATTGTGCAATTTGGTAACTCTGTAGATTATAATGGAATGTGGAAATTAAATGATAAATTTTCGTTATTGTGCGAAATTGGGAGCGCAAAGTCGTTATTAAGAGCTCATGATTTTCATTTCAATATAGGAAATAAAAATTTTCAAGAAGTTGTTTGTCATAACGAAAGATTTGGTGGAAATGATGAAGTAAATTATCAAATTATTATTATTTTCTTTTTTCTTTTTTTTTTTTTGTTACAGTAATCTTTTTTTATGTCATTAAATTTTTTATAATATTGTAGTGGTGTATTGAATTTTTTTGAAAAAGGATTTCCGTTCTCGAGTGAAGTTTGATGATTTTCTAGGGTCATTGCAAATTGATATGCAGGTGCTTGAATGCTTGTGTTTCCGATTAACCTAAATGAAGTCTAGTTGATAATTGATTATTTAGATAATGTGTGTTTAAATAAATAATAAATATATATAATAAATATATATAATAAAAAAATATATATAAATTTGGCAATAAAGATCTCTTTTAAGAAAAAAAAAAAGTATTTAAAGTCCGACGTAACTTTATTTAGAATTTACCGTGGGTATGTAAGTTTGAACTTTGAAGTTTTGTTTACGGGGCGGTAAAAGTGTGGTAAACAAAAAAAAAATATTTTTTTTTTTTGTGTACTTATTATATTTTTTTGTGTAACAAAGTAATCTCGTCACGCGATATAAAACTCGCATATCACGTGCTTGAAATTGTTAATCTATCTTCTACCTTCTGACAAAAACCATTTAAACTATAAAAGGTGGTATACACCATTTTTTTCTCCATTATGAATCAGTTGAATCACGCCTTAAAACGAAATCTCAAGAAAGAACAATGGTCTTTTTTTTAATGAATGCTTCGTTAAATCGGTAAACCACATGTTTATCTTATAATGATCATTGTCAATTTTGCGGCTTAAATGGTGTTATACATTACATATCTAAAATTCTCGTGAAAAAAAAATGTATAAATGTATGATTGGGAATAATAATGTACGTATGCTTGATATTTCCGTGAAAAAAATGTATTAATAATTATATTTTCTGTGCATTATATGTATAAAGAATAAAGAATATATATAATCATATTTAATTACCTAATTAATCTTGCAATTTTTAAAAAAGTGATGGATCGAATGCAAACCATGGTATGAACAGCTGATAAAGATTATTGTTTCCTGTAAGAACTAATTATTTTCATGCTCTTTGAGTCTTTAGAAGATAAACTGCGGTATAAGTAATGTAGATCCATTTATTGGAATTTCATTATGAAATCATACAAATTAAGTAAACTGTAATGAAAATCTTAGGAAAATTCTGCAAAACACGCGGGAATAAACTTCAATGTCTAATAGACGCTAGATTTACTTGATTTAGATGAAAATCATCATTCAAAGAACAATGCCCCAAACGAAAAGAAAAAATGTTATTGATATACTTTATAAAAGTTACCTCTATTTATGTTGCGCATATAATTCGTGCATAAATGATCGGCGTTCTCTGATGACACTATGCATGGACCTCATACAAGTTAGCCAACACGAAATCGACACCTGTTAATTATTATTTTTATCACCAAAAACATTGACACTATAATTAGCCTAAATATCGTCGAAATCTGGTAAATCCTTGTTTCAAAAAAAGCGCCAATTACATATGAGTTTCTAAATTAGTGATGATATTCACATGAACGTATCTTCTACATAGAGAAGTTTTGTGTTCCCTAACACTTTTTTCTTTCTTTTTTCAATTTTTTTTTTTTCAATAATAAATATAGTGCTGATTGTTTATATGTGTACAAAGTGTAAAATATGTTTAGTGCGCTCGGGTAAAAATTTATATAAAACTTTGATCATATTACGCGTTTAACTTCAATGATAAATTTTTTTTCCATCAAAAAAAAAAAA